TGGGCTTTTGGAGCAGAGATACAGAGTGCAAATACTGGTTGAAACTCGCCCACGTAAACATGCGCGATATTTATCACCAATTTGTGATACCACTAGGACAGATCTACATGCACAGGTCGTGAATATATTACCTTTTGCTCTCGGCATATGGGGCGGGCCACCACCTCTCCGTTGAACAGGCTCAGGCGTCAGCCAGGACATGCGAGAACTGCGACACATACTGCCCATGGATAACGCTTGCACCTCCTACGCCGTTTTTGTGTGCCTGAGCTCCCTGGCGTACATGCTCCTGCAAGGTAAAAGCGTTCCTGCTGTCTCGGCTGATATGTTTGCCATGCGATCCTCGAACGGAGCGAAACAACTCGGGTGACACATGCGCGGCAAGATCCCGCGCAGAAAACTGACCCACGTATAGCTGGTTAGCCAACTCGACGAATGGGGCAGGAAAGCCCCCTGGCCCTTTCACTGCCGGCGCAACTCAAGACTTGCGATCCTTCTAAACCTGAGGCTCCCAATCTTCCTGGAACCTCGCGAAATCTGTGGTATAGATTACGAAATCATTCAGAGACTCGTGGACAACTCCCCCGGGTGCCTGGCGAGCCGCCCAAACGAGGTGCTGCAGGAGATTGAACTGGAAAGCTTGAACCTAATGCCGGACCCGTCCAAGACGCTCCCAACCCAGGACGCTGCAACCCTCGGACTAGCACGCGGGAAGACTACACCGGAAGCCCGTTGTCCTACCCTTCCTGCATTTGCAAGCAGAAGCAAGCGCGACGGAGGCACCTCATCCTCCTCAAAACTGACGGCGCCCTGCCTAAAGTAAGCGCACATGCCAAGCGAAGGAGATGAGTCCTTGCCAGAACCATGCAACTGACTGAATACCGTGTCGCTGCTCTCGGATGTTCTCATTGGGCCTTGATGGGTTGCTTTTGAAAACGAAAGACTTTTCCATCCCTTCGATCGCGAAGAAGTTGACAATCTGGCAGTGTTCGCGCGGAAGTGCTTCCCAACCTGGCATCGGAGCTTTCGTCTTATGTTCCGAGAGCGCCTTGAGCCTTCCGACGTCATGGAGTGAACTTCTACACAGACTGACCCACGGAAGTTTCGACAGAGTTTGCCCGAACCAGAGGAACAACAATCACGACTTTTGGTTGAGCCAACAAATGATCTGGCTGAGAAACTGCTCGGCCTAGGTCCGGATTCGCCTGGAATCCAAAGGATTTGGGGAGAAGCGTCTTCGACGCGGCGACGCAGTCGATGCATTTCGCGGGAAAATCACCAGGGGGAAACCCATGTTCCGCGGTATACAGCCGACCTCAAACTATCGATGAGCAAGGGCGCGCAGGATTGGAACTACTGCTAGCCCTTGCTTTGAGATAGCACAAGCTTGCCTGCCGCAAGCTACGTACTGAGGCGGGGCCGGGAAGAACGCCCGAAGGCCCCCGCAGGACGCCGGCGCCCCTGATGACCAAATCGGAGCCCATACGAGTCCATCCTGGGAAAAACGCTCATGTTTCGGCCGCTCCTGCTTCGGCGTGTCCGCGCAATCGAAGCTGCCCCGCTAGTAGTCGAGGCCTACGAGTCACAAGAGCACCTGCCTGCCAAGGACTACTGCGTGTATGCCGTAGCGTAAGGACGCTGGCAGAAGCCATCGTGATGTCTTGCTTGGTAGCACTTCCTACATCCCCCTCTCCCTGCTCCGCTTGATGAAACATACGATTATAAAAAAACAGCTGTCGTTTCTCGCTAGCTTGAGGCTGACCACGGAGGTCGACTGATTGCGAACTATGAGGTCGCCCTCCTCCATCGAGGGGCACTGGCTCCGCGCGCAGCTCGGCAAGCAACGCCATCCAACCCGCGGTGCACGGGTGCGATCGCGGGAACAATTGCGCCGCGGACATGCCTGCGAGGGCTGGATGCTGATCGTTCCTGCCAGATGCTGCATGTGTGTCTACATATTCGCTGTCGTGTAGTGGATACTCGTTGCGTGCATGCACACGTTAGAATTGCATGCGGTGCTGACATACTGCTACAAGACATACTGCGCGCAAGCGCCCAGCCGATCCTGACGAGTCAGGGGTATCCCATCTACCCTAGAAAGCGCTCGTGTCAACCAGGTTGCCAAGGCGACAGTAGCAAATGGTTGCCGCGAAAAGTGGCCAACAACAAAACCTAGTCATGGCCCGCGGTGGAGCCAGGCGGGCCGTCTGGAACTCGCCAGTGGCGACGGCGCCAGCGCAAGCACAACCAGCGGTAACGCCGATCGTCGTCGCGAGAAGCTTGGGGAGGACGACGAGCCCAATCGGGCATGCCTTCGCTTCGAGGGGGCCCACCACCTCCACCCGCGAATACCGCAAGTGGCTAACATTAACAGCATTAGTAGACACGGGACGCCGAGGAAGGTTCTGAAATAAATCGACTGAGCAAGGGGGCGAACACTGACTGTGGATCTGCCCACCTGAGGCACCACCGGAAAAGCTCCACCTCTCGGGCAGATCACACCTCGCCATGGCGGGGTTGTCCAGAAACTCTGCCTTTGGGTCTGAATACTGCTCGCGGGGCGGACCGCGAGGCGCGTCAATCCGTTTGCTTCTGTAAGCTGCCCCCTCCCCCCCGCCTTCCTCTGGAAACGATCTGCCTCATCTGCTTCGGGCGACTCTGATGCTGCACGGGCCGCGCTGCCACCCCTGCGGGTCGATCAGGCTCGGGGGGGTGCCAACAGCGGCGGTGATTCCAGATCCACTAACGTATATTAAAGCTGCTGCGGTTGAAAAGCTCGTAATTGGATTTCTGACGAGGACGACCGGTCCGCCCTCTGGGTGAGTATCTGGCTCGGCCTGGCCATCTTCTAGGAGAACTCAGCTGCACTCGACTGCGTGGTGCGGTATCTAGGACTTTTCCTCTGAGGAAAGATCTGCAATCTGCGCTCTCGCCCTCTAGGGGGGGGGGCCGCCGAAAACGGCCCTGGCCTGCCGAGGCTGTGGCCCTCCTGCAGGATGCACTGCTTGCGGTGCAGCCCGCTTCTGGGCTTGGTGCTGCAGCTGCTGGGCCGCTGGCTGATAAGTGACCATCCCGAGTGCCCCGCCATCCACTGTAGCATGGGGGCCCAGTTGCAGTGCAGCCAGAGGTGCATCACGGCCTGCATTGGCACGACATTCAAGTGCACTTGTTGCTCACATGACGCGGCCGCGTCGTTAATCTCCTGCAGCTGCCTCTGGATGATTCTGATGACGGCCAGCTGCTGCTGGGGAGAGGGGGGCTGCTGATGTGGTTTCGGTGGCTGCTGTTGACTTTGGGTTTGCTGACCTGTTGCTCCTGCGCGCCAAGAGACCGGGCCAATCGGTGAAGGTCTGGGGAACTCATGATTGGAACTGGAAGCTT